CTTGAGCCACAGCGCCACTTCCGGCTTTTTTTTCTGCTTATGTGGTGCTGAGGAATCGAACCCAGGGCCTCATGCATGCAAGGCAAGCACTCTACCACTAGGCCAACTTCCCAGCCCTTACCCCTTTCTTAGTGAAGCCAACACAGTGCTTCTTAGGATACCAAAAGAGGAGAAAATCTATTTTTTAAAAATGCTTTAAAAATAATATTAGATGGAGATGGGAGGGCAAGGAGAGGAGGGGAAAAACAAAGGAGGAGGCAACAATGCTTGATAAGAAATGTACTTATTACCTTGCTGATGTAATTATAATCCCTCTGTATGGTATTTTCACAATAAAAAAAAACATTAAAAAATAATAATATTAGAAGGGATGGGAAGGTGGCTCAGTGGTAGAGTGTTTGCCTCCCATGCATGAGGCCCTGGTTTGATTCCTCAGCACCACATAAAGAGAAAAAGCCGGAAGTGGCGCTGTGGCTCAAGTGGTAGAGTGCTAACCTTGAGCTAAAGAGCTCAGGGACAGCACCCAGGCCCAGAGTTCAAGCCTCACGACCACCACCACCAACAACAAAATAATAATGATGATGATGATCATCATCATCATCATAGAAAACATAGGTATGAGACAAAAGAATAGAATAATAGAAATTCTGCTACTTGTCCATTTTTGGTCCTGAGAACTTGGAAAAGCTCTTATCACTAGGTTCCAATCTTTTCTGAACTGTTCATTCAATAAAGGGACTTTGGAAGAAGACAGCCAGAACCATCACAAATAATAAATCATCTAGTGATATGGTCAAACAATCTGCTTATTCAGTTATATCAACTGCACGATGCTAGTTACCTCTGATGACAGGCCACTCTCCTCATCTGTTTCAGTCATCTCAGAAGACTGTTTCAATTTAGATTTTTTTGCACCACGAGGAGATGAAGCGGTGCTTTCAACATCACTTTCCAATAAGCTCTAGAAAATAAATCCAGACCACTTTTATATATAACTCCATACTTTAATCCACAATATGTATTATGTCAAGAAAGTAAGTCAAAAGACATCTAGTACTCGAGTAGTGTTTTCAGAAACGATAAACCAAAATTTAAGTGGTTTGATACACTAAAAGGGGGATGTTGGTAAAGATCATATCACTATCCTTATTGTCCTTACCTGTTTAACATAAGGCGTTGGGCTAAAATGCTTTCACAACCAAGTCAAAGAACATAAGTCAGTGGAGGCTGATAGGATGCATTGTATACATAGTGAAAATGTCATAATAAGCCATCCTTGTACAACTAATTAATGCTAATTTAAAAAACAAATACTGCCAGGCACTGGTGGCTGACGCCTGTAATCCTAGCTTCTTAGGAGGCTGAGATCTGAGGATCATGGTTCAAAACTAGCCCAGGAAGGAAAGTCAGTGAGACTCTTATCTCCAATTAACCACCAGAAAACCGGAAGTGGTGCTGTGGCTCATGTGGTAGAATGCTAGCCTTGAAGTGAAGAGCTGAGGGACCACCCAGACCTAGAGTTCAAGCCCCATGACTGACAAAATAGTAAAGAAGAGGAAAAAGTCAGAAATACATTACAGAGAAAAAATAAACAAATAAATAGATCAGAAGCCAGGCACCAGTAGATTGTGCTTGTAATCTTAGCTACTCAGGAAGCTGAGAGTCAGAGAGAACTGTAGTTCAAAGATAGCCACTGCAAAAATAAATAAATGAAATAAAATAGCTAGCCAGGCGCTGGTGGTTCATGCCTGTAATCTTAGCTACTCATGAGGCTGAGATCTGAGAACAATGGCTCAAAGTCAGCCCGGGCAAGAAACTCCAAGAAACTTTTATCTCCAATAAACCATTCAGGAAACTGGAAGTGGCGCTGTGGCTCAAGAGGTAGAGCGCTAGCCTTGAACTGAAGAGCTGAGGGACGGCACCCAGGCCCAGAGTTCAAGCCCCATGACCGACCAAAAAATAAAAATAAGAAGACAGCCACTGCAGTAAAGTTCATAATTCAGGAGGCTGAGATCTGAGGACTGCAGTTGAAAGCCAGCCCAGGCAGGAAAGTCAGTAACACACTTATCTCCAATTCACCACCAGAAAACCAGAAGTGGTGCTGTGGCTCAAGTGGTAGATCACTAGCCTTGGGCTGAAGAGCTCAGGGTCAGTGCCCAGACCCAGGGTTCATTCCCCATGACCAACAAAAAAATAAATAAAGAAAAATCCATATTAGTCCATCGCTAGCAAAAAGCCAGGTTTGAGGTATGGGTTTAACTGGTAGAGTGCAGAGCAAGAAGCTGAGCAAGTATTAGGCCCTAAGTTCCAACCCTAGTAGAAGGAAGAGGGAAAAAAAAGGAAAGAGAGAGAAAGGAAGGAAGGAAGGAAGGAGGAGGAGGAAGAAGGAAGGAAGGAAGGAGGGGAAGAAGGAAGGAAGGAAGGAAGGAAGGGAGGGAAGGAAGGAAGGAAGGAGGGAGGGAGGGAGGGAGGGAGGGAAGGAATGGAGGGAGGAAAGAAGGGAGAGAGGGAGGAAAACAAAGAGAAGGAAGGAGGGAGGGCGAGGGAGAGGAAGGGAAGAAGGGAAGAAGGGAAGGGAGAAAGAGAAAAGAAGGGAAAGACATCAAATAAAATATTAATATACAACACGGCAAAAAAAGGAGAGTGAACAAACACAGTCATGGTACACACTATACACTATGTGGAAAATGAACTATACAACTTGTGGGCAGGGACAGGAGATACTGGGGGAAAGTAAAGGAATGTACTCATCATCTGATGTATGAAACAGTAGCCCCTGTACAATACTTTTTTTTTTTTGGTTGGTTGTGGGGCTTGAACTCTGGGCCTGGGCACTGTCCCTCAGCTCTTCACTCAAGACAAGCACTCTACCACTTGAGCCACATTGCCACATCAGGTTTTCTGGTAGTTTATTGAAAATAAGAGTCTCACAAACTTTCCTACTTGGGCTGGCTTTGAACCTCGATCCTCAGATCTCAGCCTCCTGAGTAGCTAGGATTACAGGCATGAGCCACCAGCGCAATAAAAATTATATTTAAGCCAGGTGCCAGTGGCTCTTGCCTGTAATCCTAGCTACTCAGGAGGCTAAGATCTGAGGATCATAGTTCAAAGCCAGCCTGGGCAGGAAACTGTGAGACTCTTATCTCCAATAAACCACTAGAAAACCGGAAGTGGTGCTGGGCTCAAGTGGTAGAGTGCTCACCTTGAGCTGAAGAGTGCAGGGAAAGCGCCCAGGTCCAGAGTTCAAGCCCCACAACCGACAAAAAATAAAATAAAATGATATATTTTTTTAAAAAAAGAAAATATTAATACAGTGGTAAAAATGAACTAACAGCTGAGTTCCGGTGGCTTACACCTACAATTCTAGCTTGTTGAAAAGATGGGATTAGCAGAGAATCCAAAGAAAAAGGGTGAAAAAGTAGAGCAGTGGAGCACACTGGATATTGATGGAAGTGAACTATACAACTCATGGGTGGAGGTAGAAGGGAGGGAATGAGAGAAAACGAGGGAACAGATGACTGTACGATAGGAAATGCACTTATTGCCTGATGTATGTAAATGTAACCCCTCTGTATAGCACATCTACAACAATAAAGTAAATTAATTTAAAAAATTAAAAACTAGATAAAAAAAAAAAAGAAAGAAGAGATTAGGAGGACTGTAGTTCAAGGCCAGCCTGAGGTCCATCTCCATTAATAGCTGAGTCCAGTAATATATACCTGGCATCCTCAAATACATAAGAGGCTGAGATCAGGAGGATCAAAGTTCTAGGTCAGCTCAAGCAGAAAGGTCTGCAAAATTTCATCTCAAAGGAAGTTGGGTGTGTTAGCAGCTGCTGTCAGCCCAGCTACAGCAGGAAATAAAAAATTAAACATGGGCTGGGAAGGTGGCTCAGTGGTAAAGTGCTTGCCTTGCATGCATGAGGCCCTGGGTTCGGTTCCTCAGCACCACATAAGCAGAAAGTGGAGCTGTGAGTCAAGTGGTAGAGTGCTAGCCTTGAGCTGAAAAGCTGAGGAACAGCGCCTAGGCCCAGAGTTCAAGCCTCACGACCAAAAAAAAAAAAAAAATTAAACATCACAGTCTAGGCATGACTCAGAGCAGGAATCAAGATTCTGTCCCCAAAATAAACAGTGCTGCTAGGCGTCAATGGCTCACACCTGTAATCATAGCTACTCAGGAGGCTGAGATCTGAGCATCACAATTCAAAGCCAGCCTGGGCAGGAAAGTCTGTGAGACTCTTATCTCCAATAAACTACCAGAAAACCAGAAGTGGCACTGTGGCTCAAGTGGTAGAGCGCTCCACTTGAGCTGAAGAGCTCAGGGACAGCGTCCAGGTCCAGAGTTCAATCTCCACGACCAACAAAAATAAAAATAATAAACAAACATTGCACTGGGAGAGACTGAGAGAACAGAAGATACTTTATGAAAGGAAATGTACTTACCTATCTGACTCTTGTAATTGTAATCCCTCTGTATATCATCTTTATAACAATAAAGTAAATAAAACATAAAAAATAAGCAGTGCAATAAAGGGGTAGAGGCATGGTTCAGCAGTAGAGCATTGGCCTTAGCAAGCCCAAGGACCTGACTTCAATCAAACCCTAGTACTGACAAAACAAACAAAAACAAAACTATGGATATAGGGAATGATATCCATGAATCTCAAAAGCACATTGTTAAACAAAAACAACAACAAAAGCAGAAAGAAAAGAACATATGCATGTATGGGTGCATTTAGATTTCATCAACAGTAAATACTATATTATACAGAAATACATATGTAAGTGATATAACTATAAAGAAAAGAGTAGTTTTCAGTCAGGCTAATGATTGTTGTCAGGGAGAAGGAGGTGACACTGACTGGGAAGAGCATACTAAGGTTGTCCAGGCAATGTTATATTTCTTGACTTTGGAAGAAGTCAAGAGGACTCACATAGCAATTATTTAAATTATGAGTTTTATTTTTTACCCATTTTTGTGTTTATGTGTATGCTACATTTCATGAAAAAGAGTTAAAAATTAAGTATGAAAAACAGAAATAGCTCAGCAAAAAAATAGAAAACAGAGCTACATCTCAATCAGATCTACAGAATAGGAGATAACACTAAGGAAGCAAAGTATACCCAGTCTTCTGTACTAAGGAACACCCACTGACCTCTTCAGCAGTCTCATCTTCATCTTCTTCATCTGGCTGGTACTCTTCATCTGAGGAATCATCTTCTTCAAGGTGGATGTCCACAAACTGCGGAGGCTACATTAATACAATGAGAAAAAAATGAGATGTAGAATGCATGTTCACCATGCACAAGGTTCCAATGATAGCATAGAAAGAGGGAAAGAAGCTGGTGCCGGTGGCTCATGCCTGTAATCCTAGCTACTCAGGAGGCTGAGATCTGAGGATCGCGGTTCAAAGCCAGCCCAGGCAGGAAAGTCTGTGAGACTCTTATCTCCAATAAACCACTAGAAAACCAGAAGTGGCACTGTGGCTCAAGCAGTAAAATGTTCGTCTTGAGCTGAAGAGCACAGGGACAACACCCAAGCCCAGAGTTCAAGCCCCATGACCAACAAAGAAAGAAAGAGAGAAAGAGAGAAAGGAAGGAAGGAAGGAAAGAAGGAAGGAAGGAAAGAAAGAGGGTCATCCTAGTTACTTAGGAAGCTGAGACCTGGAAGATCTCTGTTTGAAGCCAGCCCAGCAAGACTCCATCTCCATTAACCAACAAAAAGTTGGACTGAAAGTTTAACTCAAGTGGTAGAGCACTAGCCATAAGTAAGAAAACTGCATGAAAGTAGGAAGGCCCTAAGTTAAAGCCCCAGTATGAGCAGAATAGAAGGAGAGAAGAAAAGGAAGGGAGGGAAAGGAGGAAGGGAGGGAAAGGAGGAAGGGATAGAGGGAGAAAGAAAAGGAAAGAAGGGAACAATAAAAAGCACAAAACGTATGTATCTGGAAAATAAGGGAAAGAAAGCTAGGAAAAAAATTCTAAGAAAATTAAATTAGAAAAAAATTCTAGGGGCTGGGAAGGTGGCTCAGTGGTAGAGCACTTGCCTTGCATGCCTGAGGCCCTGGGTTCGATTCCTCAGCACCACATAAGCAAAAAGAAAAAAGTCGGAAGTGGCCCTGTGGCTCAAGTGGTAAAACGCTAGCCTTGAGCTGAAGAGCTGAGGGGCAGCACCCAGGCCCAGAGTTCAGGCCTCACAACTGGACCCAAAAAAAAAAAAAAAATTCTAAGTTAAAGCAAACAGGAAGCTAGAGTTAGTGGTTCTATGACATGCAAACCTAAGAATAGGATGGAAAAAAAATCAAAGCTGGAATGAAAACAAGAAGACAGATCTAAAAAGTTACAAATAGAAAGTTCATACACTTTAAAACTGATGAAGTCTCGCCAGGTGCCACTGGCTCACACCTGCAATCCTAGCTACTCAGGGGGCTGAGAAGCTGAGGATCATGGTTCAAAGCCAGCCCAGACAGGAAAGTCCATGAGACTCTTATCTCTAATTAATCACTAAAAATGTCTGAAGTAGCCAGGCATACCAGTGGCTCTTGTCTATAATCCTAGCTAGTTAGGAGGCTGAGATCTAAGGATCGTGGTTCAAACCCAGTACGGACAGGAAAGTCCATGAGACTCTTATCTCCAATAAACCACCAGAAAACTGGAAGTGGCACTGTGGCTCAAGTGGTAGAGCACGAGTCTTGAGCAAAAAAAACTCAGATTCAGTGCCCAGACCCTGAATTCAAGCCCCAAGACCGGCATAAAAACAATAAACAAAAGAAAAAACTGGTAAAGTCTTTCTGGAAATCAGGAATAATGATCTCTTCCAAGTTTACCTTAATTTCATTGGCCTTCTTAATTGGTGAAATATTCCAGGTTGGAATTACCTACAAAATAAATAAATAAATAAATAAATAAATAAACAGAAAATGATAGTGTTTCATTTTTACTTCCTCTTTCCCACCAGAAAGAGCCATTTACCAATAGCTAAAACTGATCTACAAGTGTTGATTATCCTTGAGGGTATACTATCAAACATTTGTCAACACTTATTAGAAAAAAAAAGTGGGGAGGGCATCTAGCACATTAGCATTTAGGCGTTAAGCCTAGTAAGATTCACTTGTATCTAAAATATGTGAAAAAATATGTTTTGCCTATTTTTATATTATACTTTGGTTTATGGAATGGATAAGAAAACAATTTGTAAATTATTTAAAACTACACATCTAAGCCGGGCGCTGGTGGCTCACGCCTGTAATCCTAGCTACTCAGGAGGCTGAGATCTGAGGATCGCGGTTCAAAGCCAGCCCGGGCAGGAAAGACTGTGAGACTCCTACCTCCAATAAACCACTAGAAAACCGGAAGTGGCGCTGTAGCGCAAGTGGTAGAGCGCTCGCCTTGAGCTGAAGAGCTGAGGGACAGCGCCCAGGCCCAGAGTTCAAGCCCCACGACCGACAAAAAAAAAACAAACTACACATCTAAGCACCAGTAGCTCACATCTATAACTCCTAGCGACTGGGGAGGCTGAGATCTGAGATTCACGGTTGGACAGACAAATCCAAGAGATTCTTATCTCCAAATAAACAGCAAAAAGACAGGAGAGTCACGATCAAGTGATAAAAACTCCACCCAGGAGTGAAAAAACCAAGCAAGAATATAAGGCTTAGAGTTCAAGCTCTGATACCCACCAACCCACCCACCCACCCCAAAAAGGCTACACAGCCAAATGCCAGGGGCTCACACCTATAATTCTAGCTACTCAGGAGGCTTATCTTCTGTAAACCACCAGAAAACCAGAAGTGGCTCTGTGGCTCAAGTGGTAAAGTTCTGGACTTGAACTGAAGAGCTTAGGGATAGCACCCAGGCCCGAGTTCAAGCCCCATGACTAACCAAAAACAAAAAGGGCTGGGAAGGTGGCTCAGTGGTAGAGTGCTTGTCTTGTATACATGAGGCTCTGGATTCAATTCCTCAGCACCACATAAGTAGAAAAAGCCCAAAGTGGCACTGTGGCTCAAGTGGTAGAGTGCTAGCCTTAAGCTGAAGAGCTGAGAGACAGAGTTCCCAGGGTTCAGGCCCCACAACCAACAACAACAACAAAAAAGACCATAAAAACCTAAGGTGACACATGTCACAGAAACCTTTTGGGCATGGAGCCAGTAGCTCATGCCTATAGTTCTAGCTACTCAAGAGGCTGAGATCTAGACCATGATTCAAAGCCAGGCTAGGGCAGCAAAGTCCCTGAGATTCAATCTCCAAAATAACTAGCATAAAGCCAGGTTGGTGGTATAGCTCAAGTGGTAGAACACCAGTCAAGCAAGAGTAAGGTTCTGAGTTCAAACCTCAATACTGCAAAAATAAAAAATAAAAGTAAAATAAACTTTTGGAATCAGGTTTTGGTTTTCTTTTCAAGACAGAGTCATATTACATAGCCCAGGCTAACCTGGAATCTGCTATATAACTCAGGTTGACTAGGAACTTGCTATTGGACCAGGCTGGCTGCAAACTCTCAAACCAATTCAGCCTCTAGACTGCTGGGATTATATGTGTGTGCAACCACACGTTGCATGGACATGATGGCTCACATCAGTTATCCTAGCTAGGTAGGAGTGGGATTGAAAGGACTGCAGGTTGAGGTGTCACCTCAAACAAAGTTTGTGAGATCTAATTTCAAACAACAAAAGATGGCTGTGGTAGCACATGCCTGTCATCCCAGCTACACAAAGAATGTAAGCAGGAAGATTTGGGTCCAGGCAGGACTAGGTATAAATATGAGATCTTTCTAAAAAAAAATAAAAATAAGGGGGAGTATGGGAAGGGATGGAAAAAGGAAACAAAGAGGAGGCAACAATGCTTGATAAGAAATATACCCGTTATCTTGCCCATGTAATTGTAACTCCTCTGTACGGTATTCTCACAATAAAAAATAAATAAATTTTAAAAAAATAAATAAAAAATAAAAGCAAAAAGAGCTCAGGGCATGGCTCAAGTGGCAGAGTGCTGCCTAGCAAGTTCAAGGTCCTGAGTCCAAACCCTAGTACTACTATTTTCTAAAAAGTAAGCACAAATTGGACAAGTGTATACAGCATGGTACTAGATATACCAAAAAGCCTTCAAGGGGCTGGGAAGGTGGCTCAGTGGTAGAGTGCATGCCTTGCATGCCAGAGGCCCTGGGTTCAAATTCTCAGCACCACATAAGCAAAAAGAAAAAAGCCGGAAGTGGCGCTGTGGCTCAAGTGGTAGAGCACTAGCCTTGAGCTGAAGAGCTGAGGGACAGAGCCCAGGCCCAGAGTTCAGGCCCCATGACAGGACCCAAAAAAAACAAACAAAAAAGCCTTCAAGTCATTCATATGCTTCAGTAATTAAAAGAACAAACTATGGTATTTACAACAGTGCATATTCCCAGGTCCTGATTGTGGGTTTGGATTCCTAGGTCTCTGGTAGGCCCAAACATATGCACTTTTAATAAGCACTATAAACACACCATACCAAGGTGATTTTGATACAAATAGTCTCTGGAACACTTTGAAAAATACAACTGTAAACACTTCCACATGTTACAACATGAATTAAAAAATGTCCTAGTTCATTTGGGTTTTTTGTTTGTTTGTTCTTTTTGTTGTTGGTCATGGGGCCTGAACTCTGAGCCTGGGCGCTGTCCCTCAGCTCTTCAGCTCAAGGCTAGACCACTTGAGCCACAGCGCCACGTCCTGCTTTTTCTGCTTCTATGGTGCTGAGGAATCGAACCCAGGGCCTCATGAATGCAAAGCAAGCCACCTTCCAAGCCCCCATAGTTCATTGTTTACAAATGGTTATCTTATCTAGAAAATTCAAAAAGCAACATGTTCATATCAACTAAAGCAATTTCATATACTATTTCTCCTTTGTCTTTACAAAAATTTTTTTCTTTTGAGACAGGATCTTGTTATATAGCCCAGGGTGTCCTTAAACCTTCAATCCTCCTGAATTCTAGAATTATAGGTACGTACCATCACTCTGTAGTACTAGACAGGGATCAATAGCAACATCTCACGTATGTTAGGCATGTATTCTACCAGTGAGCTACACTTTCAGCCCAGAAATATTTTTTTTCTTTTTTGGTCAATCGTAGGGCTTGAACTCTGAGCCTGGTCACTGTCCAGCTCTTCAGCTCAAGGCTAGAGCTCTACCACTTGAACCACAGTGCTACTTCCGGGTTCTGATGTTTACTGGAAAGAAGACTCTCACAGACTTTTCTGCCTGGGCTGGCTTTGAACTGTGATCCTCAGATCTCAGCACCTTAGTAGCTTGGATTACAAGCATAAGCCACTGGTGCCTGGCAGAAATAATTCTTTGAGAGGCAAACACAGGCCAAAACTTTTCCTATGGTTTCTCTATGAATACTTGATCCTATTTACCAAGCTTAACAAAGAAGAACACAGAATATTTACCACTCCTTTCTCTACCACTTCCTTCAGTTTAGAGCGTGTCATTTTAGGCTCCTAAGGAGGAAAAAATAGAAAGAAAATAGTAAAAATCACAATGTCATTCTTGAGATTTGAAATGCTAACTTTTCCCCAGCTGCCAATCTGTTCATCAATTCTCAAGTGACCTCTTGTGCTTGGTTTACAGAACTCCGCAACACTGAAAAAGTGACAATTACTCACAAACATTGGCATGTCTTCTGTCTCACTGATGGCTGCTTTCATCATCGCTACCACATGCTCATTTGTGATTACTTCCTGGAGAAAGATGAAATTTCACTTTATGCCAAAAGATTTCTCATCTAGACAATATTCATATCTACATTAACTCTAATGTTAAACCTATGTAGATAAAAAATGAAAGCTAGTCTCTCAAATAGCTTCAAATTGGAGTAAAGAAAAATAACTAAACACAAAGGAGGCAAAGCAAGTTTTAGAGAGACCACACAGTATGGAACAATGTAGCAGAAAATGCACTCATCTTATTAGCTGTTCCTAGAAACAGGAATAAATATAACTAGCCTGGTGCCAGTGGCTCACACCTATAATCCTTGCTACTCAGAAGGCTGAAATCTGAAGATCAAGGTTGAAAGCCAGCCCAAGCAGAAAAAATGAGGCCAAAAAAATCAGCAAAAGCAAGAAATGGAGGTATGGCTCAAGGAGTATAGAGCCACAAAAAAAGCTGAGCAAAAGTTCAAGATGCTGAGTTCAAGCTTTTGTACCAGCACAGAAAAGAAATAAGAAAAAAAAATAATATACTTAAGAGAAAGACTAACAACCAGCAAAGGCTTTGTAAGTAGCTATATTGTTATATATTAAGAACATTATGGATTAGCACCAGTGGCTCACGCTTGTAATCCTAGCTACTCAGGAAGCTGAGATCTGAGGACTGTGGTTCAAAGCCAGCCTGGGCAGAAAAGCCCCTGTGAAGCTCTTTTCTCCAATTAACAACTCAAAAACCAGAAGTGAAGCTGTGGCTCAAAGAGGTAGAGCATTAGCCTTGAGTAAAAGAGCTCAAGGACAGCCCCCAGGTCCTGAGTTTAAGCCCCAAAGGCACCAAAAAAATAAAGGTAAAAAAAGAACTTGTTTATATATGTGCAAAGTACTATAAACTATTCCCTGGGCTTTTCAGATAAATCATCCCAGAAGTGTAAATCCACTAGGAACATTATCATCTTCAAATCTGCTAAATACAGTAAATAATCAAATAAGCACATAGAAGTACAGGTAGTTTACACAATTTTCTTCTTTAGAATGTGTTGATTTCAAATTTATTCCTAGTAGAAAGGGAAAACTTCTATGAGAAGTAAAATGTTTTTCATGGGTAACCTACAATATTGAAAATTAATAATTGATATACTATAGAGTCAAGAATTTTCTAAGTACGTCATTTTGATGGAAGATTCCATTCCGTTCCAACTTGACAAGCTGCCCAGGCTTACTCACATGCAGGATGTTTCGCACATTGACTGCTGTCAGGTTGTGCTGCTTGGCACCATCTTCTAAGGTCCGGTCAAGCATGTCATCCAGTTTCAGGTCATATGCCATGGTCCCTTGTTCTTGACTCCTTCCATCTCGTTTCCTCTTGGTACCCTTTTTCATTCTTCTTCTTTTCTCACTTTCTTTGCTGTCTTGCTCTTCTGAAAATAAATCAAGAGCATCACCAGAATCTATCTACATTAAGAGCTACACTAGGAACTTAGCCAAAAAGAAAATCAACTTACCAACTGTCTGGCACTGAAAAACAATGATGGTGGGTGATAACAACAGAGTTGGTAATGATACTGTAGCAGTAATGACTACCATCCACTGAATTTTTATTTTATGTCAGCCATGCATTCACATACTTTATAGATCTTAATTCCCCTATTTTTATAAGTAATCACTCTGCTTGGTAGAGACTATTGTTTTCTTCACCATTCTGATGAGAAAACTGAACCAGAGATGAAGAAAAGCTCCCAAGTGGCCAGGTGCTGCTGGTAGCTCATGCCTATAATCCTAGCTACTCAGGAGGCTGAGATATGAGAATCTCAGTTCAAAGTCAGCCTGGGTAGAAAAGTCCATGGGAATCTTATCTCCAATTAACCACCAAAAAGCTGGAAGTAGGGCTGGGAATGTGGCTGAGTGGTAGAGTGTTTGCCTCTCATAAATAAAGCCCTGGGTTTGATTCCTTAGTACCACATAAACAGAAAAGGCCAGAAGTGGGGCTGTGGCTCAAGTGATACAGTGCTAGCCTTGGGCAAAAAGAAGTCCAGGGACAGTGCCCAGAGTTCAAACCCCAGGACTGGCAAAAAAAAAAAAAAAGCTGGGGGCTGGGAAGGTAGCTCAGTGGTAGAGCACTTGCCTTGCATGCTCGAGGCCCTGGGTTCGATTCCTCAGTACCACATAAGAAAAAAGCCGGAAGTGGTACTGTGGCTCAAGGGGTAGAGCGCTCGCCTTGAGCCGAAGAGTTGAGGGACAGCGCCCAGGCCCAGAGTTCAGGCCCCATGACCGGACCCCCTCCCCAAAATAAAGCTGGAAGTGGAGTTGTGACTTAAGTGGTAGAGCTCCAGCCTTGAGCAAATAAGCTAACTCTGGCCCTGAGTTCAAGCACCAGTACCAGTGCTGGTGGCTCACGCCTGTAATCACACTACTCAGGAGGCTGAGATCTGAGGATCATGGTTCAAAGCCAGCCCGGGCAAGAAAGTCCGTGAGACTCTTATCTCCAATTAAACACCAGAAGACCAGAAGTGGCTTACGTGATAGAGCACTCCATATGAACTGAAGAGCTGAGGGACAGTGTCCAGGCCCAGAGTTTAAGCCCCACAACTGAGAATAATTAATTTTTTAAAAAATTAATTATATTATATTAATTATATATATTATATTAATTATATATATATGTGTGTGTGTGTGTGTGTGTGTCAGTCATGGGGCTTGAACTCTGGGCCTGGGCGCTCTTCTTGAGCTCTTGAGCTCAAGGCAAGTCTCTACCACTTGAGCCACAGAGCCACTTCCAATTTTCTGGTGGTTAATTGGAGATAAGAGTCCTACAGATGTTCCTGTCTGGGCTGGCTTTGAATCATAATCCTCAGATCTCAGCCTCCTAAGTAGCTAGGATTACAAGAATGAGCCACCAGCACCCGGCACTTCTTTCTTTTTTGGACATGGGTAAGTCCTTTAACTTGAGCTCCAGCCCAAGTCTATTTTGCTCTACTTATTTTTCAGGCATTATTGCTTTAGGCAGGTCCTGGGTTTTAATGTACTCTATAGCTAGAAACACAAATGCAAGCTTCCTGTACAAAGTCTTTCTGTATGTGTGTGCTTGTCTTAAGTCTTGAACTTAGGGCCTAGGCTCTGTCTCTGTGCTTTTCTGCCCAAGGCTAGAGCTCTTCCACTTAAGCCACAGCTCCACTTCCAGCTTTTTTGGTGTTTAACTGGAGATAAGAGTCTCACACCCTGGGGCTGAGGGTTTAGCCCAGTGGAAGGGCGCCCACCCAGTGCGCGCAAAGCCCTGGATTTGGTCCTCAGCCCTGGAAGAAAAAAAAAAAAAAAGAGTTTCACAACCTTTGCTGTCTGAGCTAGCTTCAAACTCTAATAAAAGCGAGGCATCTCAATTCCAGCTACTTGGGAGATAGACATACAGAGAGTCCCAGTTTGAAAACAGTCCAGACAAAAAAAGCAAGCAAGACACCACCTCTACTAAAACAAAACAAAAAAAGTGGGTAAAGCTATTACCATAGCTATGCTTGGAGGCGAACAGTAGGACAGCAATCTGGATGGCACAGATACTACCTGAAAAAAAATAACTAAAGCAAAAATGGCTAGATGAGTAGCTCAAATGGCACCTGTTTAGCAAACAGGAAACCCTGAATTCAAACCCCAGAACTGAAATAAATGTTGGGTGGGGAGAAGGGTTGTAGCACAAACCTATAGTCTCACACCTTTTGAGTGTAAGTGTTCAAGACCAACCTGGAAAAAACACAGTGAGACACCATGTCAAAAAACAAAAATAGCCGGGCTCCGGTGGCTCACCCCTGTAATCCTAGCTACTCAGGAAGCTGAGATCTTCGGATCACCGTTCAAAGCCAGCCTGGGCAAGAAAGTCGAAGAGACTCTTATCTCGAACTAACCACTAGAAAACCTGAAGTGGCGCTATGGCTCAAATGACGGAACGCTCGCCTAGAGCTGAAGAGCTCAGGGACAGCGCCCAGGCCCAGAAAGTCCATGAGACACAACTCCAATTAAGTACCAAAAAATGCTGTAAGTGGAAATGTGGTTCAAGTGGTAGAACACTAGCCTTGAGGGAAAAAAAAGAAGCTTACAGACAGTTCCCAGGCCTTCAGTTCAAGCTCTAGGATTAGTACAAAAATAATAATAGGGGCTGAGAAGGTGGCTCAGTGGTAGAGCGCTTGCCTTGCATGCCTGAGGCCCTGGGTTCGATTCCTCAGCACCACATAAGCAAAAAGAAAAAAGCCAGAAGTGGTGCTGTGGCTCAAGTGGCAGAGCGCTAGCCTTGAGCTGAAGAGCTGAGGGACAGCGCCCAGGCCCAGAGTTCAGGCCCTACTACCAGACCTCCCCTCCCCACCCCCCCCCCGCAAAAAAAAAAATAATAAACAACTCAAAAGATAGCTGGGTGTAATGACATACATACAACTGCTGTAGTCCAAAATCCTCAGGAGGCTCAGGCAGAAGATTACTTAAAGTCCTGAAGGTTGAAACTAGCCTGAACAACACAGTGAGACTGTCTCAAGGGACTACACAGATCATGTAAAACTAAAGGCTGACAGTATAAACTGAGTGGTAAGGTGCATGTTTGGCATGCAAGAAGCCTTGGAGTCAATTTCCAGCACCAAAAATAAATACACAAAACTATACAACTTCTAGAAGAAAACAGAAAAAAGAAACTATGATCTTGGGTAAAGTAATATACTGTCAAAACCTTTAAAACTTTTTTTTTTTTTGGGTCAGTGGTAGGGCTTGAACTCTGGGCCTGCGCACTGTCCCTCTCAGCATTTCAGCTCAAGTCAAGTACTCTACCACTTGAGCCACAGTGCCACTCTTGGTTTTCTGGTGGTTTATTGGAGATAAGAGTCTCACAGGCTTTCCTGCCCAAGCTGGCTTTGAACCTCGATCCTCAGATCTCAGTCTCCTAAGTAGGTAGGATGACAGACGTGAGCCACTGGCGCCCTGCTTTAATTTAAAAAAAAAAATTAATAAAAATTAAAAAAAGAAAAGCCAGGCATCAGTGGCTCATGCCTGTCATCCTAGCTACTCAGGAGGCTGAGATCTCAGGACTGAAGTTCAAAGCCAGCTGGGGCAGCAAAGTCTGTGAGACTCTTATCTCCAATGTAATCACCAGAAAATTGGAAGTGGTGCTTGGCTCAAAGTAGTAAAGCACTAGCCTTGAACTGAAGGGCTGAGGGACAGCGCCTGGGCCCAGAGTTCAAGCCCTACAAGTGACAAATGAGTAAGAAAAGAAAGAAAGAAATATAAATGAGATTAGTAGTTACCACTGGCTGAGAAAAGGGAAAAATAAAGTGGAATTAAAGAATGTTTAGTATGTAGATATACTACATATCTGGCTGTGGTAGTTGCTAACATAACTATGTATGATTTCTCAAACTCATTACATGATTTTTTGGTTTTGGTGCCAAAACCAAAATTGGAGTTTAAATTCAGGCTCTCACATTCTCAATTGGCTTTTTCACACAAGGCTGGTGCTCTCCCACTTGAGCCACAGCCCTACTTCCAATTGGAAAGAACTGATCAGCAGCTGCTTTATTTAAAAAAGAAAAAGCAGATAAGGGATAGGAAGAGGAGAAAAGATACTTGCCACACTTAAAGAATAATTCAAGGACTGAGAAGGTGGCTCAGTGGTAGAGTGCTTGCCTTGCACGCATGAGGCCCCGGGTTCGATTCCTCAGCATCACATAAGCAGAAAAAGCCAAAAGTGGCGCTAACTAAAATGGTAAAGAACTAGCCTTGAGCTAAAGAGCTGAGGGACAACACTCAGGCCCAGAGTTCAGGCCCCATGACTGACAAAAAAAAAAAGAATAATTCAAGCTAGCTATCAGTGGCTAACATCTGTAATCCTAATTATTCAGGACATTGAGATCTGAGAATTGCAGTTCAAAGCAAGCCCTGACAGGAGAGTCCAAAAGACTCTTATCTCCAATTACCTATCAAAAAGTCAGAAGTAGGGCTGGGAAGGTGGCTCAGTGGTAGAGCCTTTGCCTTGCATGCCTGAGGCCCTGGGTTCCATTCCGCAGCACCACATAAGCAAAAAGAAAAAAGCCAGAAGTGGAGCTGTGGCTCAAGTGGTAGAGCGCTAGCCTTGAGCTGAAGAGCTAAGGGACACCACCCAGGCCCCGAGTTCAGGCCCCATGACCGGACCCAAAAAAAAAAAAAAAAAGTCAGAAGTAGAGCTGTGGATCAAATGGCAGAGCACCAACCTAGAGCATGAAAGCTAAAAAGCTAAGGGACAGTGCCCAGGCCCAGAATTCAAGCCCCAGTAATGTCCCTTACCAAAAAAGGAATAATCCAGCCAGGAATTCAAGCACAATTTTTTTTTAAAAAAAGAAGTACACAGTTCACCAAAAGATCTACAGTAGAATGCTGACAACAGTATCCTTCAGAGCAGCCTACAACTAGAAATTATCCAAATGCTCACCAAGAGTTGAATAAAAAAAAAAAAAAATTCAGGCTGGGAAGGTGGCTCAGTGGTAAAGTGCTTGCCTTGCATATATGAGGCCCTGGGTTCAAATCCTCAGCACCACATAAGCTGAAAAAGCTGGAAATGGCGCTGTGGTTCAAGTGGTAGAGTGCTAGCCTTGAGCTGAAGAGATGAGGGACAGCACCCAGGCCCAGAGTTCAGGCTCCACAACCGACAAAAAAAATGCAAACAACAATGAAAATAGAATATTCAAAGCAATATTCAATAGCATATTCAAACAGCAATGAGAATAAACAAGCCACAGTTGCACAAAATAATATGAATTTCACAAACACAATATTCAGCAGAAAAATGGAAGCCACAAAAAAAGCCCACACATCTGATCCCATTTACATAAAGATGAAGCAGATGAACAAATAAATATATGCTACGCTATGCCAAGCCAAGAGAGTGGTTACCACAGGTGGAAGTGATAAGGGTAAAGGACAATCCAGGTGGATAAATAACTCAGGATATATGAAATTATCCTGCTAGAAAACTCAGGATAGCTAAGGCTATATGCAGTTTTCTACATACTATACTATAAGAATTGGTTGGTTATTTTTCATTGAAAAGAAAAAGAAAAGCCTACCCATTGGAATAAAGAGTCCACCATCCTCTCTCTCTTCCTCAGCTTGGTGAGCCAGACTCCTGAGTGGCTCTTCTTGAGGAGAAGCACAAACATCTGGCTGAGATGATTTCCTAGGCTGGGCTCCTGGGTCTGCAGACTGGCTGCCTGACGGCAGTAAAGGTATCTCCTCCCCTCCAGAATGCATTTGAGGTTTCCCTAGAAGAATCACAAATACTGCTCCACACTTTGCCCATTCTCAGTCAAGTTCTTTACAGAAATCAGCATTTTCTTATAGTCTTTTTAGTTAGACAAATTCATAAATGAAAAGTGTCAAAATCAAAGTTCAGATCCAAATTCTTCACCTGTAAAGTCAAGGAGTTAAACTAGAATACTGCTAAAAATCCTTCTAATTCTAATATGCTTTGAGTTTTGTTTCCTACAGAAAAATCAGGGATTTACAACAGTGAAAACAGCACTTAAAGCCCTGAGTTCATCCTCAGTACCAAGAGAGAGAGAAAAGTTTAATCACATGGGGGAAAGGGAAGTCTGATGACAAAAGGGCCTTTATAAATGACCATTAACATACATTTATTCAATATCTAAAAAATGTCCTCATCAGCCAGAAGAGGTGCTCACACTTGGGGGACTGCAGCAGAAGGATCTCAAGTTCAAGATAGCAGCTAATAATAAGCAGCAAGGTCCTGTCTAATAATTTTTTTTAAAGACTTAACTGGGTAAACTATAATTTCAGAGAACAAAAGAGTAAGAATCACCATAACATTATAAATACATCTAAGTTCATTAGACAACTTTCTCACCTGAATTCTTCATAATTCTTCCTTTAATGGGGAGAGGGTAGCATTAAAAAGGAAAAGAACCATTCATGCACTATCAAAAGTAAACATTGGAAACTAAGTTGTCAGAGAAAAAAGAAATGTACAGAGGCTTCTACACATAAAATACCTCTAAAATACATATAAGGAACATACACAGTGATCTGACAGGAGATGTGGAGAACAAAGAGACAATAAAAAGTGACAAACTTTTTACTGTATACTTTCTGCACCATCCTGAGGCTTTTGTTTTTGTTTTTTGGGGTCCGGTCATGGGGCCTTACCTCTGGGCCTGGGCGCTGTTCCTCAGCTCTTCAGCTCAAGGCTAGTGTTCTACAACTTGAGCCACAGTGCCACTTCTGGCTTTTTTCTTTTTGCTTATGTGGTGCTGAGGAATCGAACCCAGGGCCT